ACCAATGCCACATACCACAGCATTTATATATCCTGTGCTATTATGCAGTAATACTACTACTACTTAAAATACACTTAATTCAACTCAATTATAATTTTATTTAGTGCAGAAAACTCAAACAACAATGAACAATATTAGGAAACATAATAATCTATACTCTCAGTTTGCTTCATTATCATTTGTACTGCATGTCCCCTCAATAACCTGGCTGCCATTTCTAGAATTAGCTGCGGTGTCGACTTTGTAATGTTAATTTCATAAGACTTTCAATAATAAAAGGTGTTTTTTGGGTTATTTTTCTTATTATTTTAAATTAAAAAAAATCTGCATTACAGCTGCAACAATTAGGCGATTAATCAGTCAACAAAGAATTAGTAACTAGTTTGAAACTTTTAGGAGTCTTTTCCACCTTTTAATTCATCTTTGCTGCCCTGTCAGTTTATGTCAGATTCCTCAATGTTTTTCTGTTGCCTCCACCTCTTTATCTTCTCCTCCTCCTCATCTTCTTTCTCCACTTCCTTCCTCTTCTCTTTTCAGATCTTCTGGAGTTTGAGTCGTATCTCTGTGCTGTCCTGTCTACCTTACACTGTGTCCAGTCCGCTCTGAGGAGACAAAACAAAGATTTTCCACTAACGAGCCCTCAGACCTGTTCTGTTTACTTTTTTTCTGATTTCATTGCTGTTCTCCTCCTGGAAAGTCAAATTATCAATTTTTTTTAACTGCGGTATTGAAGCTTGAGGCCCCTTTCCCACCAGATCTACACGGCTGTCAGGGATTGTCTGGTTACAAAAGTCCAAGTAGACGTTGTCGATATCGCCTCTGTTTTTGTTTTTCCCCCAGGACGCACACACAGAGCCCTTAACTGAAGTGTGTTTTCAGTTTTTCCTTTGACTGGTTACAGCTGTTCTTCTGCCATATCGACTGTTATTATGCTTTTTACCCCTTTAAATGATTTCATGGAAGAAGGCAATGTACTTCTACTAGGCTGGACATTTTTGGGAAGCCTTCTGTTATTACACAGTTAACATATTTAACCTCACGGAGAACACAACCACCTCCTTTCAGTGGTGTGACTTTAACTGCAATAGAAGTGTATAAATATCACCAAATAGTGAATGTTGACATTTTATCTGTCTAGATGAGGGTTATTTTTATGTCTTAGGCCTTTACATTCCACAGTAATAGCCATACTCTCTCCTTGTATGCTGCGTTTCATTATAAAACAGTAGTCCATCCTAAATCAATGCTTCTACATAATATGCATAAATGTATGAATGTATAGTTCAGGCCTGCGAGGAAGCTAGTTGTGTCTCTCCTTTCCTGCAGCCATGCCGGATAGACAGTTGCACATGTACACACCGAATGTTTTACCCCCACTGTATGATATGTAATCCATATAACAACCAATATGCATACAAGTATGCTAAACATGGGTGCTGATGTACATAGTGTATCATAAGGTTGACCCGTTTAGACAGCAGTGACTCACTGCCGCTCTGAACTGAAGCACAAGTCTGGAGAGAGAAGACTCTTCCTGCCTCTCAGCCTAAAACTGCTCATTTTGAAGATTTATCTAGCAAGAGAGGATTCAAATCTTTGCAGTTTGTACGATTCAGGGAAGTCTGAGCTCCTCTTGTTGTGAGTGTTGTATGTTTCGTACATGCCTCGGAGAGATTTACAAATTTCAAGCTGCAAAATTATGACCTAGATCACAGTTTCCAAGTGCAGATTTAACAGAGGATCTCACTCGTATAGTATATAAATTATAATTTCTATGTGCTCAGTCAAGCTGAGGTAATAAAGCAAAACATTTGATTGCTTTATAATATGCTTTATCTCAAAATGGCTCCAAGATAATTTAATTCTAACTGATCAGATCCATATAATAAGCAATAAATAATATATAATTACAAAAGTTAAAACAAACATTACAACATGTATTGTGAGGGGAAAAAAAGTCAAATTCTGCGACTTTTATGTGCATCACTCTCCATTTATCCTCTCTGGACATCAGTCTTCAATCAGGTTTAAAAGTTATCCTCCTGTGGTTGTTAGTTATATAGAAAGACTGCTGGAGAAGCTTCGTTTCATCAATAATAATGACAATCTGTGCAGTAGCACGGGTGCCAGAAGAGATAGTCCAAGTTACACTGCCAGCCAACCTACAGTAGCATTAACGAAATATGTTGACATTTTGAGTGGAAGTCAGATTGATCAATAAAAAGGCCAAATGACATTCCTAATTGACAGAAATTAGCAGTTAGTCATAGAAACAGTTTTTTTTAAGACAAGCTGCTAACTTTATTCAGGTGAGGTTAATAATTTCTCAGAATTTGTCAACACAGACTAAATTTAAAATGTCAATGCATCCCTGTAAACATACTTGAACTCTTTATTCCATATACACACTGTATAAAATCTAATACTCAAGGACAGACTTGGCCGAAAGCTCAGGTCACACTGTGTTTACCGCCACTGTTTGTGATCACACGTCGTAGTTTGATTCATCAAAGGATCTTGGCGCCATTCGTCAGCATTGTTTAGTCTTACAGGAAGGTAACCAGTATTAGCTTTCAATGTAAATACTCATATTACTGTATATTACAAATAAATATTAAAACATATCTGAATAACTTACTGTGTGTTCCATTGGATGTGTGTGTGTTGTGTAAGTAGTAGTTCTCTCCTCTTTCTGGTAGTTCAGCTTATAATTTGATTTCTGGGTAGCACTTAAGCATTTGTATATACAGTGTATCATCAGGAGAATGAAAGAACAAAAGTCTGATTGGCTTTAGTAGTAGCTGCATGTGAAACGATTAGTCACTACATGTAGCGCCACCATGAGGTTGATATTTGTGCTTTTTAGTGAAATTATAATTGAATTGTGTCTCTATGAAATGTGGTACAGATATCCCTGAGAGGTCCATTAAGATAAAACATGTCACACAACTCTTCTCCAGTGCGTCCTGCTTTATTCACCAATGCCAAAACCTGAGGGGGTTTCCTCACATACAACACATTGATCTGTCGTGATCAATATGTCACCATTGATACATTGTGTACAAACCTTTAGTCAACTTTTTTTCTTTAAAAATACTACTAACAAAATCTCCTTGTCCTTTTTTTTATACAAAAAGCCCTAAAAAAATCTAACACAACAATCAACTTTTCACATTATTCTCTAACAAATAGGCTACACTTTTTAATCCATAGCACCCAAAGGATGAAATATAAAAACTCTGATCCCCTAATTTTTCATCTAGGCCATGAATAGCCAATATTTTGAATTAAATAGCCAAACATCTGCAATGCTTCAGATGTACTGTGTGTTTAGAGCTAATTAGCTATTGCTTACTTTGGCTAAGTGCAGCCTGACAAAGCTGTTAGCATCGACTCATAAGATTTGTTTTCATAATGTTCATCGATATATAGGGTATATCTAAGAATCAGTGCTACTATAATAACAGATATAAAGTACAGTAGTGGTTATCAGTATAAACCTGTGGTGGTGAAGAGTTAACTTGAAACCTGCATGTATTTTGTCCTACTTTGATTTGTAAATATTTTTAAATATTTGCAGGAAGCCAGTGATGCTCCTGCGTGTTTGTTGAGGACTGAATGAGATCTGTGTATCTGTACCCCTTACATAACAGCAGGTCTGAGCACAGACAACATTTCTCTGTCAATCAATACAATCCAACCTTTTATGCACTTGTTTTGTTAATATAAGTACAAAGAAGAAGTTTTCCATACAAAAGTATTAATCATAGCAGTTCGGGGGGTTAAACATACTTTTTAATAAAGTAATATACCTTATGTAACAATTAACAGCTGAAAGATAAAGACTAGTAAATACAGTGAGTGCTTTATGTAGTTGTTAACTTTGTCATTAAGCTAAGTCATGAATCAATGCTTAGACCTTTAAGTAGGCTAAATGCACATTGTGATATTCATCATTTACTGTAATATACAGTATTTTACTCAATCTAGACGTTAAATGTTGACTCTAGTTTGAAGAGGAAAGTGAAATGAGTTATTGACCTTCTTTTATTTCTTAAAAACAGAGTAGATTAATATAAACAATTCAATTCAATTCAATTCAATTCAATTTAAACAAGGATAATAAACCACACTGTGTGTAAAACTTAAATGTGAAACACCTTTTTATCTGACTACTGACTCTAAAATTACTGACTATAAATGACATATTCAGATCTACTGCTGTGTAAAATCCTCACTTTCGGCTCTCTTCAGACTCCCCAGTGTCTCCTTTGCCCTTCGGCTGCCTCCAGTCAGCATAGATGGACTCCTCGTAGTCTCCCATCCCTTCAAACTCCACATCGGGAGACTCGGAGGCCAAAAGTGCAGCTTCCTCTGGTCCAAGAAAATCCTCAAATAATAAAACAATTATTTTTGACGACATTTAGAGGTATTTTTTAAACCCATAAATGTTTAATACAGATTGCATCACACTCTGTAGATGACTACATAAGGAACTAGAAATCAATATTTTTAAAGGATTTCTCTTGATAACATTTAAGTTTTCTATATTCCAACATTTAACAAACAAGCCTTTTGTTTTCACGTCACTGAGGAGCGACTGGAAGTAATTCTGTCCTAAATAGCTTCAACGTTTCTTCTTCCTGATGTTTTGGAAAACCACATGTGCTTGTTTAGAAAAATAACTACAATTCAAAATGTCTTTTAATCTCACCTCATCGTCCAACTCAGAGTACTTCTCTGCTAATGTCAGCATCTGCTTTTGAGCGAGCGTCTGGTTATAGTGTTTGAGAGCCTCCTGTGTAAATAGAAACAGATCAACAACACACGACAGGAGTGTGAGAAGAACAAACTAATTCTCTGCACCCGTCCTAGTTTCTGCTTCAGATCAGCTGAGAACCAAGTGGTTGGTTAGTGGCTTCCAGCAGACACAGTATATCCAATGATTACTGATGGACTCCCAACAACAATTAGGTTGAACTGCTTATTTCTCCTTTAACTCTACAGTATACATTTGTATTTCTGACATTTTCATGCTTGTTTTGGCATCTGTTTATGCATTTATGTGTACTTTCAGACAGTTGAGACAGATTACAGATTTGATAGTGATATCTGGTTTCCCTCTCACCATCCTGGGTGTGAAGTGTTCGGGCTGAAGGCCCCACTGTTCACTGTAGGCTTTATAATACACCAGATTCTGCTTCATGACCTGGTCTTCGGGTTCAAACAGGAAGTAGCTGTATGCACAGGGCACCGCGCTGCGGCCCTCGTTCACTGGTCAGAGAGAAAAACAGCAGATACACAGATAAGTCTTGTTGAGGAATATTATTCAGTGATGGTAAGCTCAGTTGGCGACAGTAAACTTACACTTGTAATAGGCGTATTGGAGGTAGTGGTAAATAGTGGCCACAAATTTCTCCACAAAATATCCCCCAACATTAGGCATCAAGTGTTCTTCACACTTCAGCTTACACTGTAATACGTCAGTGTAGACATCTGTGGAAAAGCAGAGGAGAGATTATTAAGACTCTTTTGTGTTTTCAGTTTCTCCTACATGCTTGGAAAGACAGAGGAGGGTGAGGTGAGGGGGTTGTAATCTGCAACTACACTACTAGATGCCACTAAGTCCTACGCTCTGGTCTTCAAGTAAAAGTACAGTTATATTATTGTAAAAGTACTCCATTACAAGTAAATGTTCAAAACCATCCAAAATGTCAACACCTTTCTGAAAACAGTCACCAATTCCTTTCTTTTAGGTGGTTATACACTAATGAAAACATCTGACAATAGATCATCCTACATGTTACACACTGGACCTTTGAAGCCTGTTTTTATGTGTGATGCTCAGTAGTAGTAATGTTATCTGTTCATGTCAGCCATTTTTAAATACTAACCTGCCACGACTGCATAGAAGTCACTGTCTGGTGAAAGTTGAACGATCCCTTCACAGTCTGCCAGACAGAGGTCGTACTCATGCAGATACAGCCTCAGAGTTTCCTCCATGTGTTCAACACTGCCGCTGTAGTCACCTAAATTGATGAGATTCACTCCTCTTAGGAAGGAGGGCTGGAGAGGAAATGATTGATACTCAGGAAACAGCTGGCAGGAGAGCAAGAGTCTCATGGGAACAGTTCTTTTCAGTCTTTCATTACTCAAGCAGTGGTGCACCCTGAATGCTTTGTTGTACAGCTTTTTAATGATTGACAACAAATGAATTTAAAATGTCTGTACAGTTGAAAACGCTGTGATCTAGAGAGAGAGTGGGATGTTTTTTGCACTTTAATGTGTAGATACTTTTGGTACTATTTAATTCCACTTTTTCACTTCAGAAACTGATTTGGATTTGATTTTTATTGTTGCTGTTGATGTTGTATTTAACTGTAACTCTAATACGCTGTGTATACTATACAGATATGGTTTATAAAGGACAGAGACTAGCGTGTACTCACCTCATATGGTTGTTCTTCGTGGTCTGTGAGGTAGCCGCTCAGGTTGTATTGGCTCTTGTACTCCTCCATCAGTAGACGCATCTCCTGGTCCTTAGGATTCTTCTGGAGGAAGGTGTAGGCACATGGGATAGCCCTCTGCAGGTCATTCAACTGGGGGGGTTGTGGCGGGGGGGGGGGGGGGGGGGGATACTGAATTACCTCAGCTGTTGTTAGGAAGATGGTTGATTAGTGTTGCAGATTTTAGCAAAAAAAAACATTTTCTATTTGTTAATGGTTATTTTGCCTTTGTATCAGGTATCTCCAAGTCACAACTGAGGATGCAGTCTTCCACCTTTGCCTAGATTTTATTTTCTTGTTTCATTTATAAATGTTATCCCTATTTATTCTATTGATCTCCAGCTAGCTGAATTTTAATGAAACTGTACCATTGCTCATTTCCAAAAACCCCTGGCATCCCAGAACCACACTTTCAAATCCACTTGTTTAATGGATCAACTCAGATCTCAATAAAGACATGTTAGAGTAAATGTCTATACGTTGACCTACTGGTGCTAAGAGGATGTCTATAAGCCCGTTTAAAGTTGAACATGTTTGATTGGTAATAATGAAATCATTGACCCTGACCCACAGTGTCTCACCCTGGAGTGCGCAAAGTGCAGATATCTGTACGGAGATCTTCTTCTGAAGTCCTCCAGGATCTCTCTGCCGGGGGGAGGCAGCTGCAGCGCGGGGAAATGCGCCCTGCACTTCTTCTGACAGGACGCCCTCATCATAACGAGCCAGTAGACGCGGAGGTCCCGGCTTCCTGTGAAGGACGGTTCTTCATGTTTGCTACTGTTACAGAGCAGCACGCAGTATCTCACGCTGTCTTTAAGAAGCCGGTGCAAACGCAGACTCAGTTCCAAGTATTTGATCGATTCCGTCCACTTCTCTGCTGCGTAATGGTCCAAAGCCAATCCATACGCAGTGTTGAGGGGCATGAGCTCCTCTTTGGGGACATTTTTGAATTTGTAGTTTTCATATTGTGCTGCTGTCATAAAAACAGAGGTCAAACAAAGCAGCGCCAACAACGCGTCTCCTTTTGCGCAAAATACAACCATGATAAGATGTTATCCAACATATTAGTTCGCTTCTTCTGTCGTCTGCTGCTGCTAACTTTCTGTGTCTGTGTGAGGGTCTGCTGAAGTGCTTAGGGGTCTGTGGGAATTCTGGGATTGGGCCTTTCAGAGGTTAATGTCTCGGGTTTCTCAGTGCAGGCCTACAGCTGTCACATGCGTTTCCTTATTTGGCACAAGAATAATAGTCGTGCGTAAAAGTTACTGCGTGTGCGTATCCGGTTTGTTTTGGTGTTGTTCGTTGCTCACACGTGAATAAATAAAATGAGATAGATAAAAACTGCATGACAAAGGAAATTCTTTGGGGTTTTAGGATATAATATTTATGTGGCCTGTGGGGTAAAGTTGCGGATCAGAAGCTTTATTTTATTTTCGACAGCAGAGGTTTTGCCCAGAACAGTTTGGGACAATTTGACCTAGTTGTTCTCTTAGTCATACTGAGGTGCCCTAAGGACATTGGGCAGGAAAACGAATTCCTTCCCAGACTAGACCTGGCACGTTTATCCTCTTTGGACGTTACGTCGCCTATTTTCACAGCATTAATGAAAAAGCTGAAACTTTGGGGGCTCTCGGGCCACTTTACGGCTCTGAGACGCTGATCCAGAGAGGCGGACCTCTCTGCGGTCTGCAGCTGTACAGCGGTGATGAAGAGTCAAAGCAAACAGAACAACAGGCGACTTTTCTTTCAAAATAAAAGCGGAAATTGCCCATTTTAAAAAGGAAAAAACAAAAACAAACTCCAGTACTGTCTCGCTCATTTTATTCCTAAAGTGGGAGAATATTGAAGTTATATCATACCTTCTTTAATTCCCTTTATTCGTGTAGTTGCAGCTACAAAACCTCCCATCTAGTTTGATGTTCTTTTATTTTTTAAAGGAAGTACTAAGTGATCTTTTCTCATTGTGGTTAACTTGCCATGGGGCGCTTCCCCCCTCCCAACTCCGACATTCCTTCCCTCTGGTAAAAACTGTGCACAGCAACCTGGAGATTGTCCACGTTTACAGCATTCACTCCGCTGCCCTGCTCCACATCTGCAGCCTCGGCCCTCTGCACAAATTGCGCACACGATCGTAGGCCTCAAATTTACCCATTTTCCGGCGTTTTTCTTTTAAATTATTGTTTTGAATCCCTTTAAGTTATTTGACGTGATTCTGCAAATATGTTTTCCTGCTGCATTGTCGTTTTCCTCCTCACTGCGTGGTCTTCCGTGGAGTGTAACCCCAGTCCAGTGTTAGGAGATGTAGTCGTGGACAGATACTCCATCCCCGAAGTCTGCGCCAGAGAATCGAAAACTGGAGATTACGTTCGCTATCACTATAACGCAACATTTATCGACGGGAAAACATTTGATTCGAGGTAAGTTCGTCCGCATTATGCGAACTTTTCTGAATGCATTTATTTTAAGTTTTGTGTCTTTGCTTTTAAAGTTGGTCATTATTCTGCAGAGGCCATGAAATCGGATGTTTGGTTAAGCTTTAGAAGCAGTGTCATTTCAGAAAAGTAAAAAGAAAAAAACTAAGATCTATATGTTGAAATAAGTTTGCAATAGTCTTATAATAAACATCTAGATGCATGTCCTAAAGATGCAGTCATTCTTTCTCCAGAGTTTACGTCCTTTTGTCTGTTTTCAACTTTTTGCTTCCTTCACACAGTCATGAGAGAGGAGACGCCAAGGTGGGCCTGCTGGGGGAGGGCCGCCTCCTCCCTGGCATCGACAAAGGTCTGCAGGGCATGTGTGTGAATGAGCGCAGAAAGATCACGGTCCCACCTCACCTGGCCTATGGGGACGCCGGTGCAGGTAAATGGAAATCTCTTAAAATTCTTTGAAAGACCTTTAAAAAATGAAGACCCATGAATGAGATGTTTTAGTTTCTGGTAGATTTTCCAGAGTAATCAGGAGTTAACAGCTGAGATTTCAGGTTGGCCCCAGACCCAAGGGGGGAAGGTTTTATCGTGTCTATGTGGCACTTACTTTGTGGTTATTTGTTTAAAGGACCAGTGTGAAGGA